CGAATAAGGCACGAAAATCAAAAAAAAAAATCAGAAAATCTCGAAAAGTCCCAAATAAAAGGTTTCGAACAAGAAATGGAAAATCAACCCGAACCCGAACGTAGAAAATCTTTAAAAGGGTCAGTAAAGCAGGAAAAAATTCGATTGACGAACTTTTTTTTAATAGTTAAAAATTTAGAGTAACAATACTTTGCTTCCTATTTTTAAATACCTACAAAATATAGCTGCGATGTAGAAATGGTTAAATAAGCAATTGGGTATTATTATTGGGAATCTCCTGCAGATAAACAGAGTTTTCTGATAGAAAAATATTGATTTTCTATACTATTTCTACGAAAAGTTGTTTTTTCCTCAGATAAAATACATAGAAAACTTTATGAGCTTTGAGCGACCTCTAAATATTTTTTGATTTCAAAATAAAAAATAAGGGTAGATTTTTTCGGTATAGAACAATCCTAGGGGGTGAGAGCATAAAAATTCCGACTTTACTTTTTCACATGCATTTTCGGACCATATCCATATTCACTGTCATATTCATATTCATACTCAAATTTGCATTCATGTTCAAACTCATATTTCTATCCATGTCCATATTTATGTTTACATTCATCTGCACTTTCAAATTCATATTATCATTCATATCTATAGCAAATGCATGTGCATCCGTAATCATATTCATATACAAATTCATCATTTCCATTAACTTTTCTTGGTTCAGCTTTACTTGCCACTGTAGCTTCAATTTCAAGCATTCCATTTATTAAAAAAAATTCAACTGCAAGTAATTCAAGTATCAAGCAGTGTTAACTTCACGTAAAACATCATTCACGTAAACGATTTTAACATCTTGCCAATCCAATTCAATTCAAAGTAAACGATGAAAAAGTTAAAATCCAGTATTTTCCAGCGCTCCATACTTCGATTCAAATAAATACTCGTCGTATCTGAGTAGTTTAGTTAATTCTCTTCACCACTATGGAAGGCAACGAGCAATCAATGCCCGAAATTCATGAACCCATTTGTATGCGATCGATGTTTGCATTGCTTTGCATTTCATTATATCCTCCACAAGATACTCGTAACTGTTGTAGGTAGCTGTCGGGTGAAAATCTAGTTGTTGCCATTGCATTTGAAAGATAAATGCAATTGTGTTACCGTTTTACCATTTCCCTCATTGTGGCAGCGTTTGGGTATTTTTGCTGTAATTTCATGCAATTTCACTTGCTATCAATGCATGCAAATCGATTCATTCGATACACGCAGAACATATGTACATATACATATATACTCATTTAGTTATACATACCTACATACATACATACATATGTACATTACACCCCTAGACAAAGGTGAAAAACGTAGGCGGACGAAGTGCACGTGTGCCGTAAGAGTGATGCATAGTGCGATAATGTATGTGTAGTGCTGATTTTGCGATTGATGTCATTGCTACCTGCCTTCGACTTCTGTTGCTTGCTGCGAAATTTCTTAACGTTTTCTCAAACACGTTATTTCGATGACATTGCGATAATTTGTAGCATCTTTGGAATTCGATCTCATTTGAATGGTATTCAATTTTTATTGCATTGAAACGCTTCGGAATATTTAAATGCATACTAGGGTGGTCCTTAAACTATCAACATCAATGGCATTCCATTATTTTGTTCTACGTACATAGGAAAGACATTCACGGAAGTTTAAAAAAAATATTAAAAAAATTGGGGTCGCTGACAGTGTTTCGGTTAGGTTAGGTTAGAGGGTCACACGTATGCTGGAAAAGCCCAATGGGATACCACCGGTAGAAGCCATTTGTTTCTTACCCTCCCTTACGAATTGAACCACTGAGTGCGTTTTATGTAGCACAAAAATCCGATAACGTTCGCCGAGTTCAGGACGACTAAACATTCTGAAAAGTACTAGTTGAAGAATCGGTGCCGCGTTTGGCCAAAGCGGAACAGTGGCAGAGTGGAGTGGCTCTCCACCTCTTCCTCGTATCTGCAACTACGAAACAAATCATTGGTGGTGTATCCTAACCGTTTTCCGTGCAGTGTCCGGTGATTGCCCCGACTACTAATCTGAGAGAGAAGCGGTTCAGCCGAGCGAGAGCTGTGGTAGAATTGCAAGTGGTTTCCACAGATCATCTTGATAAGTTCGGCATTTAGTCTGTGTTGCAGATTAGAGCTATGCCCACATTTTGAGCTGAATTGTATTCAGATATTTCGGTCTCTCTCCTTGCCAGCTCATCGGTTATGCAGTTTCCAGGAATGTCCGTGTGTGCCGGGACCCGTAAAACAGTCAAGGAGCATTTTAATGCCAGCAGGTTAAGAGTCTCCCTGCATTGTATGGCTACTTTGTACGTTGTTCTGTGAGATTTTAGAGAT